ATTAAGATTGGCGTCTGAATCAATTCAGACTTTCTAAATAATCTGGGTCGACCTTGATTCGAATTAGGTTCGACTCATGAAAAGTTCGGCGTCTGAACCGGGGGGGGGGGGTACTCCCATACATTACCTATAAGGGTATGTGCCGCCCAACGGGGTCGTGATTTTGAAGCTCCTGATTTAGAACGGGGTATCCATTTCAGAGGCGTTTTCTAGAACGGGGTATAATATTTAGAACGCACGAAAGCTCCAGTTTTGTAAGCAGCCATTTGAAATTATTCAAGGACAGATTGGTTTTAAAAATACGGTTCAATGCGTTACAAAGCAAACTGTTGAGGGCGGGCGTATTTTAGTCTGCTACACAGCCGTTTTTAGAGTCGTCACGCAATGTGGGGAGGAACGTTGCGTGACGACACTAAAAACGGCTGTGTAGTAGACTAGGCGTATTTTGGCGCGAGCCCATTTCTAGAACGGGGTATCCCTTTTAGGGCGAATTCTAGAACGGAGTATAAAAAATTGGCCCATTTCTAGAATGGGGTATCTATTTTAGGGGAAATTTTTTTAGAACGGGGTGCTAATTTGGAGTCCCGGGCAGTACATACCCACCCAAAAAATACCTAAGTGCCCCCCCTCCCGGGGCAGAGGAAGGAATAGCCTGTTCACAGACAGGCCTCTATTTTCTCTTCAAAGTTCGTCGAGCGTACGTGATAAAAAATAAAAACCGCGGGGGATTTATATTGTTCACCGCACTCCGCGCTCGGCAATGTTTTCGAAAAGAACGAAAAGAAAAATAAAACAACGTTAACGTCTGTGTACAGGCTGAGGAAGGAATAGCCGGCAATGCTTGGCTTGAAAAGCTATATTTCTTTCATCCTCTGAGTCACAACATCAATGCTGGTTATATGGCCGGCGTAGCAGGTGCCGTTTTTTTAGTTGTTGTTGTTAATAATAATAATAGTAATAATAATAATAATAATAATAATAATAATAATAATAATAATAATAATAATAATGATAATGGAAACTTTATTTGTGTTTTTGAATGTACAATTGTAAATCTCGCTACGTATAGGCAATTTACAAATGCTGCTTGAGATTGGATTATTAAAAAGAAAAACAAAAACAAAACAAAACAAAAGCCAAAAGAAAAAAAAATCAAAATTGCATTAAGTCTGGGCTATCCCAGCTCCTATTTCTACAACAAAAGATGTAATATGTTGCTCTAATGGCTATATTTATCAAGAACGTGAAGCATTCATCGGAGAAAACGCCAAGGGAACTCATGGAGAGATTTACAAATCTCACACATCAGTAATAATAATAATAATAATAATAATAATAATAATAATATAGCGCCATTCTCTTAGTGATCCAAAGCGCTTTACAATCAGGAAATACTTAGAAAACGAATAATCCAAATACAACATAAGAGGATTTAAATTTACAAGCGTGGCCGAGGATTTAAACTCGGGACGACCGAGAGCAAAGCCAGCAATTCAGAAAGCCAGCCAGTTGTCATAGCGCGACTCGAACCCTGGACCGCCGGATTGCGAGTCCGACGCGAAGACCGCTCGGCCCACGCTACCTCCCTGTCGGTTGTTCTTGTTGTTGTTGTTGGGTATGCAGTCTGCAAGTGTAACATAGTGATACAGGAGTACATGTCCCGCTTAATATATTATAACCAGATAAGTCAGAAAATAACAAAGAGTTGAGTTAAACGCAACGGACTACTGCTGAGAAAGTAAGTTATCGGAAAATAAATTCAGTTGGCTATGAACAGTTTAAGTGATCTGATCTTTGTGCGTCTGAGTCCGAGTCACTTTGATGACTTGGTAAGCACTTACAATTATACGACGCTTTCAGCTCTCTTGGACAAACACCCTCCTCTACGTTTGAGATCAGTTGTACTAACTTGTACTGACAAGACTCATGTGTACCCTGCAGGCCGGTGGGGAGGTGGGGTGCGACGGGTGCGCTCCACCCCCCCACCACAGGCCCCAGCGGTTCACTTTTTTGGTTGACCAGCGATTAAAACGATTGTGTACTGGTAAACTTGAAAATACTGTGAAATAGTCACGCTTTCCAGAAAACTTGTTTTGGCCGTCTGTGTAAAAGTTTTAAAAAAGGTTTAGTATGCAGGGGCGGATCCAGCATATTTTTAGGAGGGGGTGCACTCGTCTCTTGTTCTACTTCAACACCAATAAACCACATAGTTTTTTTTTTGCAGAATACGAGTTGTATTAGAAAACCGCAGGTTATCCCAGGGGGGGTGTGCACCCCCTGCACCCTCCCCCTAGATCCGCCTCTGGTATGCCTGCAAGGCATTTACCCTTACGTCGCTTACTCCTCTATTTTGTCCTTAAGGAGTAAAGTCTAATGGAGGATTCGTAGTGCAGATTGAGCAAATGTTTTCTTGCCGCTTTACTTCAACTGGGAGGTCACGGTCTTTACCGTTCCGAGTGGTTGCCTTTGGTTTCTTATCTTTGCTCAATCAGAAATGGACCTCTGATCGCTAGCTGAAGGTGTTTACTAGTATTTTCCTTTCTTGTTTTCAAAAGTGGCTTAATAACCTTTAGGGTTTGTTTCCATAGTTTTCTGAGAGTTGAATTCTGAACTATTATTTTTACAGTAAGTAAAAGGTTCCTCAGTTTGGTCTAGAAATAAGAGGGGGGCGGGCCCCCCAGGCCCCTCCTCTAGATCCGCTACTGATTTTATAATAACGTATTTTGTACAAAACAGTTTGACCGAGATGAGCATTTCTCGCCTTTTAAGAGCGATTGTCTGTAAACATCGACCAAAATCGACTTTTTGTGGCACAAGTTCAAAATTCGAATTTCGCTCATTTTTGGCTCATCGATAACCCTTAATGAGTAATGAAACATGCTGTAGTTAGTTTTCCCAAATAACGAATTCTTTTGTTAAAAATAGAGAAAACTCATTTTGTCCGTTTGGAGCTCAAAATCCACTTCCGGTGAAGCGAAATTTTACACAAATTTCATTGCCTCGTACGACAAACCACAACGATTTGGCAGCCTTTGAAGAACACAGATAGTTTTTATGACCCTTTCTTTCTCCACTTTCTGTTTGTGTTTTGTTTATATACCTGAGTTTTAGCTCTTAATACGATATAGGAAGCCGTTTCTCGCGTTGCTAGGTGATCTCTTCTCTTATTTTCCTTTTGAGTGTTTTCACATGACGTCACGGCAGCCATGTTGGTGTCCCAAACCAGACCTCTGGGAGTTGAACTCTTTTCTTATGCAAACGCTTTCTTTTGTTCCAATAAATTTGCATAGATACTGGCCACGTGAGTGAAAACACTCTATAGACGGTCCGAAAACCGGGCTCAAGTTACTTAACGGGCAAGCCGAGGCGAGCCTATAGAGTACTAAAGTGTGACGTCATAAAAATGAAATTTCTGAAATTATGGGATTTGTCAGGATGTTCTGAAAGAAATATGTCCAAGAGGCCTACTTGCCAAAAATGAGCATTTCGGGGCAAATTGTCTCCGGAGATCGTAGACCAGTTATGCTTAGAAAACTCCATACAAACCCTTCTAAATTTTTAAGGTAGTATTTCCCGGTAAATATCGACAGAAGACCAGATTAAGGTAAAAAGTGTTAAAGGCTTTGTCATCTGTCAAAGGCTCTATTTAAACATATTTCATGAACAGAAGCGTTACCGCGGAGATGCACAAAATTGGTACATCTCCTTTGCACCGAATTCTGGTCAGGAGAATCTTTCAATCGATCACCGGCCAGAACTATAAGTAGTGCAAGAGCTTACTGAAATCAATTAACAAGAATGCTTACAACAACTCTTCTACAAACATATATCGTAGGAAATACCACAAGTGGCTAACGTAACTCTTCGATCAACATTTTTCTTCGACAAGACCAAGGAGAATGAATCAACAGAGATCATTTTCTCATTTCGGGGGAGGATGCCATTTGATCACGTGTTAATGCGTAGGAGTTGAACACAAAGTAAAATGATGTCAGATTGTTTTTTTAACGATGTTACCCTTCACCTATAGATATTTCCCGAAACGAATGAATTTTGCAATAAATCCCCCCTCCAATAAAATAAATAAATTTTCTTTAACAATTTTAAGTCAAAAACATGGGCACTGCGAACCTTTTTCATCGCTTCCATTTTTGTTGTTTAACAAGTATGAGAATGGTCTAAATCTGTCTTTGGGACGTCGCTTAGTTTCACCTGTTTATATTGTGTGGATGCAGATAACGGGTGAGACGGCGTTTCGCCAGCCCTCTGTACCCTTCCCATGGTCCGTTGCGGTTCATCACCAGTCGCTCGCCTCTACCACGCGAAAAACGAAGCCCCTGGGGAGGAGGCTGTCTCCGCTATACTTAACAATTATTCAGGCCCGGCCAGGGGTTTTGGGTATACGGTATCCCAGGCCATTTTAATTCAGGTATATGGTATTTTTTGGTCAAAATTCGGGTATAAAGTATTCAGTTTTTCCTGAATTTTAGGTATTCGGTATATGGTACAGACATCACACGTATAATTCATTTCTCAGTTTTATTATCGCTCTAATGCTCACTAAAAATCGTGCGGATGCTCGAAATTGTTACTGTTTGGCTTCCTATCCCAGTCCCCCACCCCCACCACCTCCCCAATTGCAAAACGAACCTCATCCTTCTCATGTTAAGTCGGACTGGGAATCACAAGTCCAGCCATCTGTAAATCGGAGGCCTTCCTAGGGGAGGTAAAATTAGAGCTCGCAATTATAGAATTTGACAAGCCAAAAAATAATATATCTACGGGAGAGCGCCAAACTCTCAAAGAGTTATCGCCTAACAAAAGCATTATTCTTAAGAAATCTGATAAAGGTAACACTACCGTATTGATGAGCAGACAAGACAAACTAAACGAAGGTCAGGTTCTGCTTAATGATTTAAATAACTACCGACCTCTAGACAAACCAATGGTTGAAACTACAACCGAAAAAGCTCAACAACATTAAAACACTGCTCTCAGAAGGCCACATTGATAAAACGACGGCTAAATGGTTCTCCCTTACGCCTGATCCTCCGCGAATCCCAGTGTTTCACACTTATACTAAAATCCACAAACTGACACCTGTCGGAAGACCTATCATCTCAGGGTGTTCCGGACCTACAGAGCAGATCTCAGCATTTGTTGACCACCTTTTTCAGCCAATAGTACAACTCCAAGCTTCGTATCTTAAAGATACGACAGACTTTATTTACTTCATCGAGAGGATTAAACTGCCTAAAAGTGCCATACTTGTTTCAATGGACGTCACAAGCCTATACACAAACATACCACAACGAGAGGGTTTTGCTACTGTATGCTATGCATAAGAAGAATTTCACCAAGGAAACCCTCTAGTGCCTTCCAGGTTTTTAAGCGAAATGCCCAGTCTGATAGTACTAGAAAACTCGTTCCAATTTAACGAGATCTAGAGAGATTATCTTCAAACCCATGGAACAGCCATGGGCACGAAAATGGCCGTAGCCTTTGCTAACATCTTCAGGGCCAAAAAAGAAAAAGAAATACTCAGACAGAGTAGCATTAAGCCCGTCTTTTGGAAAGGTTTATCGATGACATCATATCAGTATGGGACACAAGCAGAAACGAAATAGAAGAATTCCTTCCAAAGGCAAACAACTTCCATCCTACAATCAAATTCAGGGCTGAAATATCAGAAACAGAAACTACATTTTTGAACTCGAAAGTGTACAATGGTGTCAGATTCAACAAGGATTCTATCCTTGAGGTGCGAACACACTTCAACCCTACAGGGAAATTCCAACACACAAATTTCTATTCGTGTCACCCACCAGGCGTCACAAAAGGCTTCATCAAAGGAGAAGCTTTAAGACTTCTAAGAACAAATTCCTCTGAAATCACTTTTGAAGGGAACATGAGGAATTTTTTTCAACACGCCTAAAGAATAGAGATTACCCAGCTACAACTGCAGAAAAACGTCTCTCAGAGGTCTTTTTCGCAAACAGAAAGAAATCACTAGAACAGAGACACAAAAATGCACGAAAGAAAATACTACCCTTTCATGCCCTTTGTAACGAAATACCACCCTGCGTTGCCCAACCTCAAGAACATACTCATCTGGAAATGGCACCTTATACAGAACCAACCATACCTGAGAAACATCTTAAAGGAGCCTCCCCTCGTTTCATATCGCAAAGGAAAATCCCTAAAAGACACTCAAGTAAGAACAAAACAATAAAGGTTTTAAGACCAATCTATTTGCGAACTGCAGGAGTCGTGCAGGCCGGTCAACACTTTTAAACTCTGTTCATTTTCAGGTATTTAGTATTCTGTTTCAAAATAATTTTAGGTATTTAGTATCACACATTTTACGATTTTGAGGTATATTGGTATCTTGGGGGCAAAATAGTGGGTATATTGGTATCCCACTATCCCCCTGGCCGGGCCGGAATTATTCCTCGAGCCCGAATGGCCTCTGAGTCAATGGGCGCGATCCATTCAACCAAAATTCCAACCGGTCCGACCGGGAAAAGAGGACCACCTCAAAAGGTGGGCCCGTTTTTTCGAAACTTTTCCGGTTGGACCGAACCGATCCATTGAGTTTTGGACCGAAATTTCCGGAAAGTTTGGTTGAATGGATCGCGCCCAATAGCCCATGAGGCCGAAGGCCGAATGGACTATTGATTCAGAGGCCATGAGGGCGAAAGGAATAACTGTTTTAGTAAAATCCAACTAGTTTGTCCAAAATATCGAGAATAAAAAGATTTTAGCTAGTTGAAGCTACACTTAAATCCTTTTTTGCCGCCAAAAAGCCCGCGCTTTTCGCTACTAGTGGGCTATAACATATATCAACCAATCAGAACGCAGCATTGATAATAGACCACTAGTTGGATTTTGCTAATATCTGAGAGCCTGGCAGAGGCAAGAGTATGTGTAGACTTCATGCAAGGCTTTTTTGACTCTTAGTTGAGTGGTCAGGTGAAACGTCGTGTTAGCGACCCAGGCTGATCGCTAGGGTTACTCCCTTATTTAGCCTAAATGAGTTTGTGCTGCTGACTTCCTGAGCTGAAAAGAGATACAGGGTATATTTTCAATATTTTTTTCTTCAACAGATACACTATTTCAACATGGAGTTCTCTTTGCATGACTTGATCACGTGATCAACTTTCAGTAAACACGAAAACACAAGCACAAGCTGAAAGAGCATATTAAAATTAGTTAACCTAAGCATTTTCAGCCATATGTTTCAAAAGTAGCGATTGCAACGGCCGCCGAAAGTTAGAAGCATTTGTATCAAAAAAACAACTTTTGCCATCCAGTCTCGCTTGCATGGTTTCCCTTACAAATATACAAATCCTTGTAATTTCGAGATTTTCAAAACTGTCATGAAATATTTCCTTAGGCATTTATACGGGACTCAAATCTCCTTTTAATTCATAACAGGCAATTTGAACCGTTAAATGTGTGAGGTAAAGATTTAACGACAGTTTTAAAATTTTAGAAGTTACTGAGGATTTTTACGGCAAAACCATGCAAGCGTGACTGGTGGCAAAAGTTTTTTTCCTCATATAAATGCTTCTAACTTTCGGCGGCCGTTCCAATGGCTACTTTTGACATATAGGGCTGAACATTTTCAGGTTAACTAATTTTAATATGCTTTTTCAGCTTGTGCTAACATAATTTTTCAAAAGTGAACTGCTTTCGTGTTTACCGAAAGTTGATGACGTGATCAAGTCACGCAAAGATCCTAAAAGACATGCATGAGTACCATAAAAATTACGTAAATTACAGATACACAAAACTAATAAAATAATTTATTATACAGTGCCCAAGAGAAAGATTGCGCAAACATTCTAAAAAACCCCGAGAGACTAGAGTTCTGCTTTTGGAAAGGAATTCCCTAGCCGTTTAGATAGCGGACACTGTAGCTAGGGACCTCGAGCTAGCGTCCTCTTCGGCGAGAGTCTGTAACAGCGGGAGTTTATTTTTAGTCAAACGTCTCTTATTTGTTTTTGCCGGGAATATACCCCCTGTCCGTTATAGTGGGGTGTCCGCAGGGCTACAGTTAGCTGTAAACACGGATCTAAAATTTTTTGTTTCTTATTAAAAAAAGCTGTGAAAAAACGTGTGTTCCAGTTCAGTCCGTGCCTGTTTTTTAGTTCTTAAAACCTGGTTTAGTTAAACACTCAGTGCCTTCATTGGTGTGAATAATAATAGGATATTTGTGTGAAGCCGACTGTAAAGCTTGCGTTTGTCTCGGTTGTATGCAAAAAGACTTCATTTGAGATAACAAGAAATCATTTTTCCGTGACAGAAATCTAATTGTCTTTTTCCCAAACTGTCTTCATTCTAATTACCAGGAGGCAAGCATCCTGACAGTGTCTGGTTCACTTTTTCATCACTTTCTAAAATTCCGTTTGCGTTGGTGGAAAAATTAGCATAGAAACTATGCTAAATTATATTATAAATATCAGTTGGAAAATTTTGAGTGGTGATCTGTAGAGTATCGTGCTGAGTATCGGCGCACTACCGCTAACTAATATTCCGTCGTCATAGAAGCCGTCAATCAAGCGTGGTTGTAAGGTTCCTTCAAATTGTGGGGTTTTGAAGCAGGAAAGAAGTTTGAATGTTAAACGCGGCTTTTTTGTCATTGATGTCCCTCGTGATGTAGTTCTTGTACGCAGAAGCCCTTTGCTAAAGGGCGAAGAATCTCCAAACAAGATCGTTTGGGTGTTTGTACCGTCGAATATGACGGGCGACCGTGCAAATTCAAACAAAGCCAGGTGGAAGCTACCTCGACTGAGCTCTCATCGGCTTGGAGTAATACTGATCGTTCTTAGCTTCGTCTGGGGAATGTACTTGATTCATATACAAATAAACGATAGAAAATCGCAATCGGAATTCTTAAAAGCGAAAATCATCGCGCTGTCAAAGGAATACATCGATGCAGTCGCAAAGGAGAAGGGCCTGACGGCTGATTCGGATGTCGACAATGGTAAGAAGATTTGTCAGAACTTCCTGTTTTAAATTCAGGGCTCAAATTCCGTGCCTTTTGGAACAACTCTGTTAAAGTAAAGTATTCTCACAAGGGTTTTTGTTCCCTTGAAGGAATGCTCGAATGCTTTAACGAGCAAGTGAGCAGGTTTTTGTATCCAGCCTTAAGCGACGAGCTTTCGTGATGATATATTATTAACTTTCACTTGCTTTCAGTAGTTTTTGGGATAACCTGCCTAGAAACCACTAAACTCAGCTAAATTTAGGAAGACTGTAAATTCAACTTTTTCGTAAATCTTTACAAACTTAAGCTTGAGTTTCAGCTCAAAACACGTTGGTTTGTCAAAGTTGTTCAAAGGACTTCTACAGGAAGTTCGTCGCGAAGAGTGTTCAACATCGACTACGTACTGACACGAAACTTTTCTAGGCTCATTGCAGCACCCGTTTGTAGAACTTTGAAGCACATGTAGAGTTTAAACACAGTCCGATATTTGCTTAGACGTCACTTCCTTAGGTGTTTAATCCAAAAAATTTGTACCATTTTATACAAAGTTTCGGAAGAATTTTTCCTTAGTGTTAATTCAGCTTATTTGTTTATTTATATTTGCCTTGCATGTATTTCACTTTTGTTCTGTTATTCACGATTCTTTTTGTTTAAGGGGAACCTCAGGCTTTGTCAAAACAACCAGCAGATACTGGAAAAATTGTTTCTTGTGTTAATGGATTCTATATTAGTTGCGGTCCACTAATTAAGGAAGCTTAATTTTGTCGGACATATTGGACTTCCGAAAGAAAATTCTGAATATTTTCTTGGCAAAGAGCCAACTTCTTCCTAGGCTAGCAAGTGCAGCATTCATCTTTTTCACATAGACCACAAAGGTGATGTTACACAAGACACTTCACAACAATGATTTTTAGTGCAACAAAGCTTTGCAACATTGATTCAAGTGGTTTCAACTTTGTTCCAGCATTGGAACACTGTGTTGTGCTAAAAATCATCCTTGTCCCACGTAACATCACCTTATGCTCCCAGTTTACCCCCCAAAATTTTGCTTAACCATTGTCTTCGATTTTGATTTTTCTGGGGACGACTGTTCAATACCCAGGAGAAAACTAGAAACAATGTTGACTGTAAAATCAAGGTTCAATAATATGTGTTTACTACAATAATACTGCAAAAAAAAAAACACATTGTGATTAATTCCTTGAAAGGGCTTATCAGTTTTCTATACATTGTTTTGCAGTGGAGGTTCATGAGATGAAAAAGGCCACAGCCATTTTGTTACAGAACATGCTATTGAGAATTAAAAACCTTGAAAAACAGGTGGAATTTGTTATAGTGAACAGTACTTCGGAATTTGAGCATCTGACACAACAAATCATGTACCTCAACCTTACGATCCGTACTGTAAATAAGTCTAAAGGTAAGCATCTTATAGTACATCTCAACCTCCCACATAGTGTCAAATCATTTTAAGTTTCTGGGAAATTGCCCACCTACCCCTCCCCTAAGCTAAAATTAACACTTACCTCTCACTTAGGGCAAAATGTTGGCTTTGGGGAGGGGTAGGTGATCAATTTCCTTGAAACCTAAATTGATCCCAAGTGTCAAGCTTCATTTTGTCCAGCAAAACAGCTGTCTCTCCTCGTCGAAAGGAACATGTCACCAGGAAGGACATCTGTGCCTCAGCAACATAAATAGGAATGATTTGCTAATAATTCATATGTCACCAATTGATTATTTATGTTACAGCTCAAAAGTAAATTCAGGTTGATCTTTATCAACCTAGGTTGATTCTCAATTTTCTTTTGTCTTTTAACCCTTAAACTACTACATGAAAAATTTCTGCAATTTGATTGGCTTAGAGCAGTGATATTTCAGCTTAATTTGGAATATTTTGACCAGCTGTAACATTTATAGTAATTTTAAGAAATTTTTTGCAGATGGAGATTTCTGCGTCATACCTAATGACCCAGCCTATCCTGAATGTCAAAACAAAGTAAAGGTGAGCAGAGCTTTGAAATACTATAAACAGTGTAGCAGTAACTATTTGTTCACTATGTACTACCTCTATGCTCAAATTACTGCCCAGCCACCTATAAGAGCTGAGCCCATGTGTGCAACAGAGCGGTAGGTGCAGGGAAAAATGGTTGAGGTCTCCTTCGAAGAGAAAGCATTGAGACCTTTAAAGAAAGTTGATTTCCTGGGCTGTATGTATATCACTCCCTGCTTGTGCAAAAAAGAACTGATGATGTTGATGATTATTAAGATGATTATAAAACTCCAAAAACTGTGAGCTAAAAATTTATACTGCCCTCCTAGGTCCTCAACCCAGGAAGGGGGAGGGGCACTCTCTTATTTGGTGTAACAGGTACATGTGCTGTTGGCAGAGGTGTTGTTTTCATGATGTTGAGTCCTCGGGGTATACAATGTAATTTTAGCATCTTGAATAGGGTTTCTTTTTGGACTGGAAGCACATAAGCTACCGAACATTAGCCGGAGAATTCTGCCTAATAAACGAAGAATTCTCTGATCTCCGATGCCTAAAAATGAACACTCTGAGTGATACAGAATTCAACGTTAGTAGTACTACTGGAACTAAGCTGTCATGTGATATGGGGACATTTAAAAGCCATAACCTAGCTCTTTAAAAAACATCTATTTCATTGAGAACCTGTTTGACTCACTCATGCTGTTGTATACTGTGTTAATATACACGTTCAATTTTTTATAGATCAGCTTAATTGATTTAGATGCCCATCTTAATCTAGCCAGATAAAAGACAAAAGGAGAAAAATGTGCACTTGAATCAACCTGCTTGCAAAATACATTATAATAGTTTGTGCATTAGTTTCGGCATCTGAATCAAATATGTTCCAAAGTCACTCCATAGCCGAAATTTCCGGCTGGGCTATTATTTTCATCTTTTGCAAAGATGGTTGTAGTAGTGGCATTTTACAAGTGTTATTGTTTTCTTTTGTCTTTCAATGTAGTGGATGTTAAAACATTGGAAATCAGAGCCAAAATTCAAAGAGCATGGTGTTAATGGAAGTCTTTGTTCAATTCTTTTCTATCTCAGTAAGGTATGCCATTTCTTGGATTGTTAACTTAATCAAAACAACTGTAATACTCTTAAATTATTATTTTTCATTATGACATCCCCATTTTACATAAATTTTTGCATAATTTTCATTGGCAAGATTGGTTTACAAAAAATGGAAACAGACAGAAAAAATGTGTAAAATTGTCCATGTAACTCCTTTAAGGACCGGGTGTTTCGGCCTCACCATGTCAGACAAAACTGCTTTAAAAAAATAGGTAGGTATGTTTAGAAAGTAAAGCAACAACTTCTTCACTATTGTAGTTGCGTATAAGCTACATTTTATCTTGAAAAGGGCTGTTTCATTGGCTGATTGAAGGGAATATTAACCCTTTAAATCTGAAAAGTAGCCAGCATCAATTTTCTCCTAACCATTAATCAATAGGGAATCAAGAGAACAGGTTATGAGAATCAATATAATGATCACCAAAAGAAAATACTCTGATCTTTTATCAGATTCTCTCAGCTAATTCTATACGTAAATGTGTGAAGATCAGTCTGGAGAATTTAATAATAATAATAATAATAACAATGATAATAATAATAAAATATTTATATAGTGCCTATACTAGTGGGGAATTTGAATTGGGCCTCATGAGTTTATTAATTTACAGGTAGAACAGTGGTGTCCCATGGTTATTCCAAAACATGCAGATGGGCAGGAGGTCTGTACCATCCCTTCAGATTCTGCTTTTCCTAACTGTGGTAGCAAAGTCAAGGTAGGTCTGTATAATTGTTATTTTATTGATTTATCTAACTATTTAATTTGTTGACCAATAACTCCATATTATTGGGAAGAAGTTATTATTGTCAGACTTAAAAACAGCCCAAGAGTTTCGCAAAATTTGTGGTGTTTTTTTTAAAAAAACATTTATTAAGGCCATATACATGTACGTTATAATGCCTTTTTTTGCATTTTTGTTATTTTTAATTTGTTTATGGGCTTTTTTCATAGCAATTATATCTATATTAATTTACCCTTTAACCGGCAAATTCTTTTGGGAAAATTTATCACTGCAGCTGTGTTGTGAAAATATGGTAACAGCTTCCATGCTTAAATACTCCCGGGCTTAAATTAACTATATACCAAAATGTTCATCATAGAGTGCTCTTCTAAATACAGCAGTAAAATATGAAATGGGTTTTATTGTCAATATTTTACCAAATTGTTTCTAGTCAATTGCCATTATGAGTCATTAGAACTTGTTTTCCTTTGCTTGAAGATTTATCTTCAGAAAAATATGAGTTTTGATCCATGTTGAAGGTCAGTAATGAAGAGAATCACACCCAATACAAAAGCTCCACAGGTGACAAAAACTGGGACTTTACAGCTAAAAAATCAGTAGATTTGATGCAAGCTGCCGCTTACATGTAGCTCAAGACATGTAAAAAGAACTGAAGCAGTCCAAGGGCCAAATCACAGAACTAGAGATAGAGTTTGTCCAAGGAGGGTCCTTTTGTACATATATGCAAGGCTGCTACCTAAGGGGTGCTCGGTTGCCAGTGGCTCTTACGATTTCCTCGCGAGCGACTAAAATTTTAAACCAGGAGCCTTCATGGGCGCCTAAAAATTATGATTCTTGTGACAATAGCCACTATGCCCACTTCTAGTGAAGGAATGACAGAATTCCGGCCTGCTCATTTGGCACTTTTGAAACAAAAATGTTTGTTAACATTGACTGTAGGCAAAAAATTTATGCTGCTAAAAGTAAACAAACAAGCACTCTACTGGAAATTCAAAACTCAAACAAATCGAGTTGCGAGGTACTTGTGAATCGAGTTTTGAGTTTAACCGGTAATCTGCTTAATTACTTTATCTGCTTATCTTATCGATCAATGGGCTCCTAGAAATGTGGCTCTGTCTCCTAACTTTATATTTAAGGAGCCTGAACGGCTCCCTGAAATTTTCTAAGACAGCAGCCTTGATACGATGATTACCAGTTAATGGGTTTTAAACAATGACTTTGTAATATTTTGTGGTAGTAATAACTTGAAATACTATCAGTTTATATTATGTTAAATTTATTTTGAATTGCACCAAAAACAGTGGATGGAACAGTTTTGGAGATCAGATCCTTTATACGCTAGCCATGGTGTGGATGGCAGTTTGTGCTCATTCCTCGACTATCTTAGTGAGGTTAGTATTAAGACCTAAGATTTGTTGCATAATTTATTTTGACATGACTTATGTAGTCGCTTGCACAAGAGGACTTTTCTTCTCTATGAGATGCTTATTTTGTAGCAGTAAACTCGGAGGGACTTGACATTTTGATGTCCCAATGGATGTCTGATTGCTCAGAAAGGTTCGAGTGATAGGGGAATTTTTTTAATGTGCAGCCTCAATGTTCAAAGTTAGTGGTAAAGTCAGTGATCAATGTAATGTGCTCTAGTGGCAATTCTGGGAGCTCCTTTGATGACTTCCCACTCCCCTTCCATAAATACTTCGTCCCCGTTGCAGATCAGATAATTCTGATGTTGTTTTCAGTCAAAACAGCTTTGCAGTCTTGGCCGTCAGTTAACTTATGCTATTATGTAGCTTGAATCAGGATTCAGCATAAAGGTTCAATGAAATGAACAGAGTAATGTTATAATTATCAATACTGAACTTTCTCTGCTTTTCCAGCAGAATCCCAATTTTTTGAACCACCTGGGGAAAAGCAAATTGGATCAAATTGTCAAGAAGTTTGAAAAATTGGGGGTAAAATCACATTGTTTGACTCGTGAAGGGAAGTTTTGTTTGATTCAAATTATCAGGGATTTCAAAAACCCAAGAGCTCAAGAAATCAGGATTCTATAGTATATTACTGGGTTTGCCAACAACAATGGTGACAGCTACGAAAATGTCACTGAAAAAGTGAATTCGTGCTGCCTCAAACTTTATCGTGCTTATCCCATCTCTTTCAACTCAACAAACGTTGGCATTTTTTCTGGAGTTGAATTCTGAAAGACTGTTTTATGCATCTATGCCTCTGTCCTGTCTCTTTTCTTTCTAATAAATATGTGAACATGCATGTTTAGGTGGAGCATTTCTGTCCTCTGCGTCTTGGTCGTCAAAGGAAAGATGACTGTCAAATCCCTAACAGCAAGGAATATCCAGACTGCCCAAGCAAAATTGCTGTAAATTTATCATTATTTTTATATCTTTACTAGTTTTACGGATAACTTGTGGAAGTTGCTCTGATTCCTTATCATTGTTATAACATTGTTACAACTGTCATTGCGCACTTTTGCTATGATAAGAATTAAAAGAAAGCAGAGAAAAAAATATGTATTTTGATGATGGTATGTTTTAGTCCTTGAGACCTGTTCGTGGCAATGAGGGAGCCCTTTTAAAAGATGGTAAAATGGCAAAAAAATATAAATTCAATAGAAAATATTAAAAGTGGCAATTCTGTTAATCATTTTAAAACTCTAATTTCAAAGGAACTCATATATAAACATCCTACCCAACACAGCAAACCAGAAACAGAAGCAAATCTGGAAACAAGAAAACAAAACAGGCTTTTACAAGATTTGTTGTTCTTGTTGTTGCCTTTTTAAAAAAAAACCTGAAAGTTTGTCACTTTCTAAAGGAAATAACTTTGGAAATACCCAGAAGTTTAAAACTGAGAAAACACTGATTTCAACTGCAAAACCAAAAACTACAGGTCTAAAAAAAAATAATGGCTGAAAAATGACTGTGCTTAACCATGACTTGTCAACCTATTATTATTTCAGTGGATGAGGCAGTTTTGGAAGTCTGATCCGTGTTATGAAAAAGATCATGGGGTAAACGGAAGTATTTGCTCCTTTATTGTTTATTTAAGTGAGGTAAGTTTACAACATTATAAATTCCTGCATGATCATGAAATTGAGTGTTGACTGTAACTTTGTCCATTTCGCTAACCTCTTTAAGACAACAGACGTTACTACTTTTCATGACCCTGATTCATTTTGTTTTTGTTTCTCTTACATTTTAGGCCCAGTTCAAATGTCGATCTTTTCATGTACCAAACTTAATTAAACCTATTTAGGTCAACCCAAATGATATAAGTTCGACAGTTGATTCTGACATCCACCTTAATATTATTAGTCAGAATCAATTCATTTTCACGATGTCCAATAAACTAAAATGCTTACAAGAGAAAATATATTTTAGTAATTCATGCATTATGTTCGGCACATGAGAAGTTTGACATTTGAAACAAAGTTGCTCGACAGTTGTAATTCCCATGTCGTCCACCGACGATCTTAATTCATGGGTCGACCCAATTAATTAGATATGTCCAACTTAATTGATTCAAACGTCGATCTTTTCATGTACTTAATTGAAGGGATTAGGTTGGGTACATGAAAAGATGGACATTTGAACTGGGCCTTTTTAAACTAGCTGTGTGTTTTTCTACCTTTTTTTTTTGACAGATAAATTTCTTTTTTTACTTAAATTTCACAGGTGGAGAGATGGTGCCCTCTTTTGCCTGGTAGGAAGTTGAAGATAAAAGTTTCCACTAAATTGAAGGAAAAACCAGTAAGCAATTTCTATTGTTTTATTTTTTTTAAAACAAACCCATGAAAATTACTCTTTTTCATAGCACAGAGTTGCATAACTGACTGCAAAACTACTGTTCTTAATTACAATATAACAAAAAAAGCCCTAATGGTGATTACCAATGAAAATAATTTTTCTTGTAATATCAATCCTTAATCAATCAGGGAGGCCCGGAGAATTAAGAATATAATCACCCAAGATTAATTCTCAGAATACTTTTAAAAACATTTTCTCAAGGGCAAGAAAGAATAATTTGTATTTTAATATTGGGAACTAAATTTATGAATTGAAGGCGTATTTATACCAGCTTTTACTACATATGAATGTCGATACAACACATAGTTTCAGCAAAATCCACAGAAAAAAAACAGAAACAACTGTATCATTCTGTGAAAATGGTTCCTGCACTAAAGTCTACAATCGAAAATTGCAAGAAATTGTTTCCTCAAAAGAAAAAAAATCAGTTCCCTGTCAAAATCTCCTGTCACATGGTAATGAATAATAAATTATTATTGAAGAGCTCCAAAGACCATATAAAAAAGTCCCATCCAAAGAGGAAATGAGAGGTACAGAAAATAGGGATGTTATTCCATGGAGCCTTTTTACTGGCCATGCATTTACATGAGTCTTACTCTATTCGTTGTTTGCAGGACTTATCAAGAGCTACTGGTAATGTTGAAAACCTTTTAGATTTACTACAAGCTGACAAACCAATAAAATTTGAATGGATCAAACGTCGAATACGAGCAATGTGGCCACGCTGGCAAGCTGCTTTTTCATCTCTAAAAAAGAAGAGGAACTTGTCAAACACAGTACAGAAGAAGGTAGTAGCAGTGTTTGTTTGTCATGGAAAACCTGGAAAGTCGTGGAATTTAACATTTCATTTTCCAGGCCTGGATAGTCATGGAATTTAATAGTCGGTCCTTAAAAGTCATGGATATTGAAGTTTTGTTTGATAGCTTAGTTACTGCCGATGACAAAGCAAGGACAATGTAAGATAGAGAGAAGTGATTGAAAAGTGCGAACAGCACGCATTTTGGTGAACACCAGAGTTTACGTTGAACTGTCGAGAAGGGAGTGTAAGGTCCAAAAATACCCTAAAACAAGGAAAGTGCTAAAACGTTTTGAAAGTAACAGCTAAACCTAAGGTCTTGGAAAACTAAAAAAGGTCATGGAAAAAGTCATGGAATTTGAAGAGGTCAAAAGAGTTCGCGGTTTTTGACTGTTACCCCATGGTACTGTTGTTTTGTAGATTTTGATTCATATTGGTGTGTTAGCAAATGAGGATAAGATGCACTTTGCTGAGGAGGCAACCAAAGGGGGTCCATTGGGTGAATTGGTACAGTGGAGTGACCTCATAACATCTCTTTATATCCTGGGACATGATATAACCGTCAGCGCCGACTTAACTACTATGCAAAGGTAACCAGGCTACATGACAGTGTGTTTACTGCACGTTTCAATAGAGCGATTTTCATATGACTTTGAAAAATGGTTTCTGTAAGTGTTCGTTATTTGTGTTATCAGACAGTGGATGAAAAGATCAAAACATGGCCTCTTCGTTTTCCCGCTAAAGAAAACCCTAATATGGAGAAGGCATTGTTGGATTGGCCAATCGTGTTGCAGTATGACGCAAAGCGAAGTGTCGGTTGATTTCTAGAAAGTTCTCGGTCATGAAGTTTTTTCAGCCGAGCGTTCACTTAACAAACCAAATACTACGCGCGTGTCTGTTCGATAAACCAAACATATCGCTATGTATTTGCTCTATTTTGTTGTTTCTGTTTTGTTCGCGCGTTTTCATTTCAAGGTCATACGAAAATCACTGTAACATGCAAACTCAAAAGTAAACAATGTTACCAACAGTTACTTTTTTTACTTCCCAAAACAAGGAAAGACAAATGAAGGCTCTGTTTGCCGAGTGAGTTTGTAAAATCCCCAGTATTTAAAATAGTTATTACAATCATTTTATTTCATTTTTTCTAGGGCCCTAGGAGGTGCCGCCTCTGTGAAAAAACTATGCCCTCAGGAAATGCGTGGGGATCTTGATCTAGTCTATTTGGATTACATTGGACTGAAACAGGTTACTACCAAGACTGGGGCTCTGTTACCACAGTTCAAGTAAGGACAGAAGAATCCTTTATGCTACGTAATAGAACTTAAGGCTATTAGCCCCAATATCCACGTACAAATTCTCCAGACTTTTCTCCTTACATTTCCTTAAAGAACTAGTTGAGAGAATTTAATAAAAGATCAAAGCATTTGGCCGTTAGTGAAGGTTCAGCTGTAATAGTTATCTTATTTATGAATTTTACGTGGTAACTAAAGTGTTATTTGCTGTTACATAACCTGTTTTTGTTTTTAGGTGCAAGTTGCGTGTAGTAGACTCGTTTGGTACTGAGGCACAGTTCAACTTTGATTTGTACAAAGAAAATATCCCCGGAGGACCTATGGGAATGTTTGGAAGACACAACCTTAACTTACGACAATTCCAGACTATGTTCCGTAAGTATATGTACCAAATACGGGTGTAACCAAACGACTGAAGAACTATTTAAACAGCTTGATAAATAGTACCACAGGAAAGTACTGCTTAGTAGCTTTCATTTGAATGGTCACACCATAGGATTTCATCCACAGACTCAAAAGTTAGAACCACCTTCTACAGCATAATAAACAGAACCACAGGAAAGTACTGTTCAGTAGCTTTCATTTGAATGGTCACACCATAGGATTTCAGCCACAGACTCAAAAGTTAGAACCACCTTGTACAGCTTAATAAACAGTAACACAGGAAAGTACTGCTCAGTAGCTTTCATTTGAGGGGTCACAGCATAGGATTTCATCCAATTTTAATATTTTTTTTCCAACTCTTTGCTTCATAGCTCACAGTCCAGACAACACATTCCTCGGTTTTGTGGTGAATGCTGAGACACCCATAAAAGTATCCAACAGAACAAGGCGGAAAGCCAAAGCATTGGTGTATGGCAAACACTTTAATATGTGGAAGGTGAGGAGGTGCACCATTTACTTCACCCTTTCGATCAACATGCAAATTCTCCAGACTAATCTCACAACATTTTCTTGAAAAAGTGTTTGAGAGAATTTGTTAAAAGATCAAAGCATCTGTCCTTTAGTGATCAACATAATAGTTCTCGTAATCTTTCTACTTAATTACATATTGATATTGGAAAGTTGATGTTGGTCACTCTAGCGACTTAAAGGGTTACCAAATAGACAACAAAGTTTTATTCATTTACTCTCTTATATCCAGTAGAAATAACGTCAAAATGCTGGTCAATTGGAAGCCGAGATTAGTTTAAGCGCAATGTTCTGACGTGGACTATAAGAACGTAGACAATGGAAAATTATGGGCTGTATTTATTTTTTACAAGGGAAGTTTCTTCTTATCTAGTGCACGAGATAGAGACAAGTTTTGTTTTTTTTTTGGCTTTTTTGCAGGATTTACAAAACAAAGGTTTTCTTGAAGTTATAAATAAATATCTAGAAGTCCATGCTACTGTCGGGGGAGGGGTAAGTAAAAATCTAAATTTTTTCCCTTTTAGATTAATTTGTGATACATTATCAGCCGGGTAATTTTAGGATCTTGACTAGAGTTCCGTTATGTTTGTTGCCAGTAACACAGTGATGACTGGAAATTCAAAGTGTGCCTTGATAAGTTTATCCAAAGGAGTTGAATTTGACAAAAGGGTGTGATAAGTACTAAATCGGAGAATAGTATAACAGGAGTTGTGATCCATATGAAAATTCAGTTCCGATTGTACGATTATTTCATACAATCGGACTTGACTTGTTACGATACGTGTAAAATCAGACAACAGTACACTACAGTGGTAGAATAGTAGAATCGAAAAATTCGGAAGAATCGTATAATGTCCTTAATACCAGTTTTCTTAATCGCAGAATAGTAAAATTGGAGGAAATGTGTAGTGCTAAATCGGAGAATAGTACCCCTAAATCGGTTATACTATTTTCCGATTTAGCACTCATCGCACCACTCTGTGCGTTATTCATATCGTATTAGTGTGGACTAGCCGTTCAAAACGCGTCACAATTAAAACGATGAACCGAAAATATCGCAGGCGCGTGTGTTTGTAGCATGCGCATAGAGTTTAACTTACGTCACAACGTGCAATTCTGTCGTTTTCCAACACTCGGTAGAAATCCCCTTCCGTAGAATTTTTCCAGCGGGCAGCCAGTCGAAAATGTATCAAAACGAAAACGGTAGTGTGGACGGGAATGGATCGATGCGTTTTCGAAGACTTCGAGAACGTACCCTTTTGAAAACGCATTAGCGTGAACAGGGCCTTAGAATCACCTTGTACATAATAACATCAACAACACGTTCTTGATGTTTATGCTATTGATGGTCACATTATTTGCTTGTGTGTTTGCTATTTCTCTTGTAGACTCCTAGTGAAGTAGCACCGCATTTACCAAGTTTTGTGATAAATCATGGAGTTGTTACTCCCGCAGAGGTCCGGAAGCTTCTAAATGAATCCATGGTAAGAATAATCCCCTAATAGACCTCTTTAGCTTGTTTGTTTTGGTGTCTCATTGAAGGTCTCAGGGGATGACTACATTCACCACTTAAGAAACGAGACGGAAAACTGGGGCGAGTTAACTTTCGCAAAGATTTGTGGGATCGTTACTGTGACGGCTGAGGAGCCTGTTTCACGAAAGTCCCGGGAACTTTTCGGTCCCGGAAAGCTTTTTTGTGTCACTATGTTTTCATTCAATATCAAAGTTTCAATAATTTTGAAAATGATACAACGAAACTATGAGTTGACGAAGCAAAAGTGATTGTTTTGTGGTCCAGGAACTAAACTACGATTCAACAGGTTATGATTTTAAAACTTGCCTTTGGGCAAGAGCGTGTAGTACGAGGATAAAAGGAGCTGGAAAACTGGCGGGGAAACTCCTGCACCGCAATGGAAAAGCGTCATTCGCGTCTTCTGATTGAACGAACGCTTTTTCTCACTCGTAACCAACATCATTTGCACCTCTGATTGGCTACAAATCGTTGCTGTGCGACATTTTACGTGAATATTTCCTCGTATACATACAGTCGAACCCCGCTATTTCGAAGTCCCAAGGAAATGAAAAAAAGTTCGAAATAGCGGGGCTTCGAAATAACCGGGGAAGCGTAAAGGGGAAGGGTAAATCCAAGGGCATTCGATCTTCCTTCGAAATAGTGGGGACTTCGAATTAACCGAGTTCGAAATAGCGAGGTTCGACCGTATATTAAAAGGCCTTTTAAAAGTGACTCTCATCAAATTAAAGTTCTGAAAACAGAGTTTTCTGAATTCTGTTTTGATCTCGGAACGGTTCTTGCCTTCTCTCGCAGGTTTTCGTTGGTATCGGCTTCCCGTACGAGGGACCTGCTCCGCTAGAAGCCATTGCTAGTGGGTGCTTTTTCATAAATCCAAAGGTAAGTTGATGGTTCGCACGGGAAAGGGAAAGCTTGAAAAGTCATGAAATTTTAGCCTGAGAAAACAACCGACACTTCGCGACGTCACCACTTGATTCCCCGCGAAATGACGTTTGAGAAACAAGCGCAGAAATTCCATTCTGATGACGTGTCACTACCCAGATCTGGCTAGTGCTTCTGATTGGCTGAAGCAAATTTTCAACCAATCAGAAGCGCTTCCCATATCTGGGTAGTGACACATCATCAGAATGCAATATCTATCCTCGTTTCTCAGATGTTATTTCGCAGGGAAACCACCTCTGGCGTCGCGCAATGACGGCTGTTTTCTCAGGCTAATGGAATTTAAGAATTTCATTTTCCAAGCCTGGAAATTCATAATTTTTTTTCTGTCTCAGTCCTCGAGAGTCATGGAAAAGTAAAGTTTTGTTTGGAAGATGAGTTATTGCAGATGTGAAATCGAGAGCAATGTACAGTAACATAAAGACGAGAAATTAAACAGCGAGTTAATGCTGGCACTCATTTTGTTGGACGCTAGAGTTTGTGTCTGTTGAGCTTCGCTTGGTCAAAAACTAACCCTAAAATCGAAATTTAAAAATGTTTCGAGGTTGACAGCTAAACCGAAGGTCATAGAAAAAGGACTCAAAAGAGTACAAACCCTCTAAGTTGTGGCCAAGGTTCCCTATGATGAACACCGAATGTCGGTATTTTGTTTCTAGATTGTCTAAAGGTCTTTTAACCAACACTTTTTGTTTGTTGTTTTGTTGTCATCTTTGCAGTTTAATCCACCAAAGAGCAGACTAAACACAGTATTCTTTAAAGGCAAGCCAACACTTAGACTGGTGAGTGATATCTGTACGTTTACACCACAGAGAAACTGTGTCCGGGCCAGTGAAAAAAGTCGCACGTTACCGGTATCTTAAGTAAAGAAATACTGGAGTTTTTACGGGGTCATAGGCGCTTTTATAGTACAGTTTTACTGAGCAGCCAGTGCAAGAGAAGGAGCTCGATGTGTGACAACTCGTTTAAAAAAAATTTATGTACTTTCGTGTGTCAGGTGACGTCACAACATCCTTATTGTGAGGAGTTCATTGGCGCGCCACATGTTTACACCATTGATGTGAATGTTTTATCAGACGTGGAGAAGGCGATCAAGGAAATCTTACTTAAAGAGGTATTTTAAAATTATTTTTCCATTTTGTTTCTCTTGTCTTTCGTTGTTTTACTGCGGGCGACCAAAGAAGCCCACAGTCCTAATCTCCAGGCCTCAGTTGTTCAAAAGGTAGATATCACTATCCGATGGATAAATTTCTATCCAGTGAGTAACGAAATTGGTTTCCCAAATATTTATCCGCTGGATAGTGATTATCCGGTGGATAGCGGTATCCAGCGTTTGAACAACCGGGGCCAGTTTGTAACTCTTACACATGCGCAGCATGAATGTAGCCAGCATTCGTTTGGATTTCCCTCGCAGCCTTTCCAATTCTTTGCCCGGGTGTCAAACCCAGTTGCCTTCCTGTTCAAAACCTTAATGAAAACCCTGTTATATATGCCCCCGGATCCCCCTAGGAGGGCAAGTCTTTTCCCGGGTGTCAAACCCAGTTGCCGTCCTGTTCAAACCGTAGTGAAATCCCTGTTATATATGTCCCCGGATCCCCTTTGGAGGGCAAGTCTTTTCCCGGGTGTCAAACTCGGTTGCCGTCCTGTTCAAAGCCTTAATGAAACCCCTGTTATCTATGCCCCCGGACCCACCTAGGAGGGCAAGTCTTTGCCCAGGTGTCAAAGCCGTTTTCCCTTTTGTTCAAAACCTTAATGAAACCCCTGTTCCACTGAGAATGTATGGAATGCATAGGACCCAATGTGATCATGTGCGTTCGGACCTTCTACCACGTGAAGCTTACGTAAAGCATGGCTTTGGAGAAGGAGCGTTTACATAGATTTCAACCCGCATTCCCTAGCCTTTGGTTTCCTTTGGTTATTACTAGTCGTAGGTATGAAACATTTTTGAGATGTTGTTTGAATAAGTAGGTGTTCTAGTTCTGGCAATGAAAAAAAGACTGTGGTTTTCTTCTTTTTCGTCACTGGTGGGAAGAAAAGTAAGACTTAACTTGCTCAACCCTGTTTAATCTCGTGAACATTTTCAAACAACATCTCAAAAATGTTTCATACCTACGACTAGTAATAACCAAAGGCTGATTTAGCAACAGGACGGGAACGCCAGTTGGCGACGGGAAAGCGCGCGGAAAGGGCCAAACACGACTTCCGGTGCCCAATTTGCCGCTCTGCCATTGGTCAAGCCAGTTGTTTGATGTCAACTGACGTTCCTGTTCTGTTGCTAAATCAGCCTATTAGAGAGTTCGAGCAACGACTTTTTTGACGGATGCACGTTAACCTGAAGTGAGACTTTTTCCTATAAATATGTCTTGACACTACCATATGTGTATTGCTAAGTCTCTTTACTCTTGCAGAGACGATTTTCCTGGAAATTTGGTCATAACAACTGCCAAGCAATGAAAAAAAAAACACTTCCGGTTGATGGGTGTCGGTCAAAAACTTGTTTGCTTAAGCTCCCAATTATTAGTTCTCACCTTCACTGCTGTGTTTTTGTTTTAGGTGGATCCTTACCTGCCTTTTGAGTTCACCCATGAGGGAATGTTAGAAAGGGTCAGTGCTTTGGTTCAAAATCAGGTCAGTCTTTACAGTAAAACCTACTTTAACAAACTGTATTTTTTTTTGGAACCGCAATAACTAAGAGAAATACGATTGAAGAAGCCAATTTTAAAACTCGTTTTACCAAATACCCTTGGGGTCAGTGTTCATTAAACAACATGTGTTTAGTGAACATGAGGTGTATCGTCCCGGGGGCGGGGGGAGGGGTACTTCTTATAATGGCCAGATAGGGAAAGCTCCGCCCGAAGGGGGTACCTTTTCAGACTTCAGGTATGTGAAGAGTAGAAGTTTCACTTGTTGAAGTTAAGAAAGGGTAAGGAAATCTGTCATTTCGGCCGGTAAAAAAAAGCCCAAAAGGGCTAACAGATGCATTTTCTGACTGCGAAGCGCGAAGAAGTCCAAAAACACGTTCTTGTTTTTGTGATTTATTCATATTTTAAAGACAATGCAATTACAGCAGTTTAAAGGGATGCAAGGTTGTAAGCTAGGTATGTGAAAGGGATACCTTTTTTAAATAGAAGGTATACGAAATATAAAAGGGTAAGGGGTTGGACCTCGGGGCGGAGCCTCCCCGTATAAATCTTTGTTGAGTAGCCCCTCCCCCCTCCCCCCAGGGTGTATCGTTACTATGGGAGATGACTGATGGTGGTACTAACGATCATTTCTTTAACATGCAGGATTTTTGTTACCAGAATCTGTGGCCTCCTTTGAAAGCTCTCATAACTGCACAGGGAGAGGCAGGAAAATCTTGTAAAGAAGTTTGCCTTTCCAAGGGTATGTCAGTAACTAAGCTCTTAGACTTGCTACAAGTTGACCTCTCATAAGTTCTTTAACCCTTTAAGTCCCAGTATCTACATACAAATTCTCCAAACTGATCTCTATACATTTCCTTAAAGAATGAGTTAAGAGAATTTGTTAAAGATCAAGGCATTTTTACTTGGGTGATCATTTTATTAATTCTCATAACTTATCTGTTGACAATGTATGGATATTGTTAGGAGAAAATTGATCTTGGTCACTATTGAGACTTAAAGGGTTTAAGCAAGCGAAGCGAGATGCAATGATTCGTCGCTCGCTCGGTCGACTTGTTTCGCCTGAATGGATTTGAATTATATTATAAGTTCACGCGGGAAAAATGACTCACATGTGCTTTGTCGGGAGTGACGTCAAATATCACTCATTCTCTTATTGGTCAATTGTCATGACGTCACCAGTGGAATTTTCGACCGGTGAAAATCACACCAAACAGGTATGAAAAGTTCTTTACAATGGCATAACCAACCAGGAAAAAAGAAAAAGGACTTTTAGAAAGTTTACTAAGGTCTTTGTGAATGATTTGGACCCTAGAGTTATAATATGAATACGTGCTCAAGTCATCATCCGAGGGATTCTGACTTCGTACGCCTTGTCGAAACATCTTTGCTATGACTGCACGACTACGACGTTAAATTGCCTTATGCGACTGGGCCCAGATCCACAGTGTGTCTTGAAGGGTTTGACATTTGTTTTAAAATTATCTCTGTTTACAGGTATGGTTTGTGAACCAGAGTTTTTTTCCAAAATCAACTCACGAGACTCTCTAACGCAGTAAGTATTTGTTTACGAGGAGATCTGTCCTTAGTTTTGCGCGTTATCAACAATTTCAACCATTTTGCCTGCCATTTAGACATCACTGCGGGCTATATTGAACCAGAATATGCATTCTTTTTGCTTTAGTTTTATCATGAATGAAATCAAACTAAACAAATTGCTCTTCAGTATATTAGAATGTCAGTGTATTTAACACGAAAGTGCTAATTGGGGGACACTATTTTCACGTCTCCAACTGGAGATGGGACCTCCAATATTCGTGGTCATCCAAGCCACGCAAAGGTCTAGCCGTTTTTGTACGTTTGCGGACAAAGGAAGGTCCCATATTTTTTAGTTTTTTAGACCCCGAGTATGTGGTCTGGCCCCGGGAATCGTACCCGCGAACTCCCGCTCTGCAGTGAAGCGCTTCACCGAATGAGCTAATCGTTTTGTCTTTGTAGAGCTACGTCATAGTAGAATCCAACTAGTGGTCTATTATCAATGCTGCGTTCTGATTGGTTGAGCTTCTACTAGGCTATATGTTATAGCCCACTAGTAGCGAAAAGCGCCGGCTTTGAAAACCAAAACAATGGCGGCTGAATCGCGTTTTGCTAGCTAAAGTTGTTTTGTCTTGATATTTTTGACTAACTACTTGGATTTTACTAAAACAATTATTCCTCTCGCCCTCATGGCCTCTGCGTCAGTAGCCCATTTGGCCTTCGGCATCATGGGCTATTGACTCAGAGCCCATTCGGTCTCGAGAAGTAATTGTTAAAGAGACTGTTTATCGTTTGTGCAATAGAAATGGTTTTCCCTGTAACTCAAGCCGACTGGAAGAAGTACCGTCTCTGATCGCCCCAGGCTTCCGAAAGGAATCGCAGGCCTGCATTCTTCAGACCCAGACCCTTCTCTTTAGCTGCACAGGAACGAGTCCAAGTACCATGCGCCTGTGCCCTTGTAGAAAGTACAAGAAAGGACAGGTAGCTCTCTGTGAAGGTTGCTGACACTCGTTAGACCGCATTCTCCACGACGTTTCAATTCGTCACTTTAGAAAAGAGAAAGAAACTGGGTCCAGTTAACTTTCGCAAAGACTTCTGGGAATGTTGGTCAAATGCCCACGTGCAATATATGAAAATTCTAACATGACTCTGAGACTTTGTGGTCATTCTTCTATATTTGGTTTGGTTCCTTTGTGCTCAAGTCTCTTCTGGGAATTGCGAGACAATGGGATGGTGAAAAATTTGCAATTTTTATCCTTGTGGAAAACACGAGTACACACCAAATAGTTCCGAAAATCTCACTAAGTTTAATGTCCACAATCCTTAGTCCTCAAGGTAATAACGAAACCGAACAACAAAGTTTTTTCTGCGAACTTTATCAGTTTTTTCTTTTTCGAACCACGAGGTCCGTAAAACTACTACTTAACACGAGGCTTGATAGACATGGCCTCATGTAACAGTCACGAATGTTCAAACGTTCTCAACACCCTAAAGCCTCGGAGTCATGTTAAAGTTGTAATATATCGAACGTGGGCTATTTTTCCCTTGTCCCTTGTAACAATCCCAGAAAGTCAATTCGGCCAATGTTCTAAAGTGGTGAATGATCTCATCAAAGATTCCCCTCCAGTGTTCGTTTGTCGGAGTAGTTTTTTCCTCAGTCTTTTCTTGCAAGACGCTAAACAACAAACAATTTCTCACCATATGTAGCCTGCAAAAACGACCATCTCTCCCTCTCCTCGCCACCAAGAGGGACGTCTGCTCCTCAGCGACAGAAATTCCATACTGATGAGTTAAATTAATCTTTACAGTCACCTGGTTCCAAGTGAAATGTTGTTCGATTGTATGCTTCTCACGGTCAATTATGGTAAAGTTTTGTGTTCTTCTGTGAACGAGCTCCAGCGAAACTCAAATGCTTCTTCTAAATAACACACTCCACGAATATTGACTGTTTTGTAGTAGATTTCTCGCGTTTACATTTGACCTTTTTGTGACCTCTTGTCTTTTTTCTGTCATTTGTAAACAATAGCTAAAACAATTTAATTACTACGTCGACCAATCAGAGATCCTGATTCCGGACAGAATTTACGTCATAAGTATGGAATTTCTGTGGCTGAGGTGCAGACGTCGCTTGTGGCGAAACGTCTCAAGCGGTGAGAGACGGCTGTTTTCGCAGGTATCATTATACAGTGTAGAGTTAAATGACTAGCACCCCCCCTGGTAGTAATTTGTCTTTGTATAAAGTAGCCAGTCGCCCACGCACACGGGCTGTAATTTATTTACGTAAAAATGTTCACGTATTCAGCGACTCAGTATCCAGCAAAGCTGGGTAGTTTGAGCGTGTGTGTAGATAATATACGATTTGAACTTGCACAGTATGTTAAATAAGTGTAAATAAGTTAAAAGGTTTTTTAATGTAAAGTTTACAATTTTTTCACGTACGGGCCTTACTTTTAGAAAATATTGTTGAAATAGTTTTGTAATACGTTTCTTTGAGAGTTCGTCTCAGTTAGAGGTAAAATTGGTAAGCCTTTTTATGCATTTCTTTTTTTGTTTGAATGTTAGTGGTAATTTTTTCTGCCCCAAGGCGGTAGTTGTGAATTTTTTGAATTTATTTTTACAGAATTGTTATAACGATGCATGTCAAAAACTTTCTTTTGCATTTATTATCATGACCTGTAAAACCCCGGGCCGGGCTGTAAAGCTAATCTAATATAGCTGCATTTACGCCACCGAGTTTGCCTTGGTACTGCAAATTGAAAAATATGACAGGCTTTCCCTTGGCGGCCAGAAGAGGAAAGAAATGAAAGCTTGTTAATGGAAGCTTGGTAGTGTAAATGGAGATAAAAACTTCGCCAACACGTTTTCTCGTTTTGTAAACGTTGTTACCGGGTAAATTTTATTTTGAGTTAAACCAGTTACAGAAGGTAAGCGGGCTTCAATCTCGATCCCAGGGTAAACCGTGTTAACGAGGCTGGGCATAGGCTCCCGCGGTCATGCGAGATCAGTGATATGCAGCTATACGTGTTAAAAGACGAGGAAATGTTGACCGGTGGACGTAATTTGTCAATAAGTATTTTTTTTAGTGCTGTAGGGAAAGGAAAACATGATCATTTACATCCTTTATACTGTTTTATATTTATGCATATTGTCTCACTGTACCGTAAAAGGTCGCGCGAATTGCACGGAGGAAAGCGAAAAGGGTGCTGAAAAGTTTGACCAGGGTCGGGACTATATTTCAAAACTTTAATAGGTTTTTTTTTTCAATTTTTTTTATTAATTTTCTTTCATTTCACGTTATATTACATTACAATATCTACTCATTAATTACTAATAGTACATGCACTGACAAATACCAGACTAATTACAAATTTAATAAGTTGTTATTAGAGAGGTTAATTATCACGTTTACATCAAACGGCATACTCGAATTTGTACCACTTTGTCGCCTCCTGTTCGTTATTTCTGCTCATAAATTAGTAGTTTCACTCAACTTTTTATCCATATGAATTTTCTGAGCTGTTTTTATCTGCTCATTTTCTATTTTGAGAAATTCTCAACTTGACTGACGTTTGCCATTTACCGTATGTTGTGGGAGACTGATCATGGGTCAGTACTGAGTCGAATTGCGCTATGGGACTGTTAGGGGCTGCTATCTCTTCCGTTATTAACTCTCACAAAGTTACCGCGCAGGAAACTGGATCCAAACAGCCCCATAGTGCAATTCGGCACAACACCGACTCAGTCTCATGCGCAACCGTCAAATGGTCATCAACCCTTTAAAGCCCCATTATCCACATACAAATTCTCCAGACTGATCTCCATACATTCTCGTAGAGAATTAGTTGGGAGAATTTGGTAAAAGATCAAACCACTTCTCCTCGGTGATCATTATTAATTCTCCTAACCCTTTCCCTTGATGAAGGGTGGATATTGTTAGGAGAAAATTGATGTCGGTCACTCGTGGGGCTTTGAGGGTTAAGTTTCCCGTTCATTCATGTCAGCAGTCGTATCCCCCAAACAATAGGGAGCTTAAGCAGCGACGCACGTCAATCGGAAGTGAGGTATTTTCCCTCTTAACATGCCTTGATGATATAAAATTTGTATTCCTTAGCTTCTTTACCGTTATAGAGGCGATTTGACTGAAAATTTGCGCGAAACCACCGTCAAAATTTGAAAAAAGGTCACTTCCGGTTGACGTGCGTCTCTCAAAAACGTTGCTGCTTAAGCTCCCTAATAGGGAGCTTAAACAACTACAACGACCACGACGACGTCGACAACTTCAAAAAACAATAGGTTGAATGCTCAAAACAACAGCTCTGCACGTGCATCACGCTTTTTAGTACATTTCTTTGACGTCAGCTGCACGACTACGACGTGAAACCTCCTAATTTGACGTCTTATGGAGGACGTGGACATCCGACGACGAATTTTCCTTCCTGTTTTTGAACTTGAACAAAATCCTTAAGAATTCAACTCCAGGAAAAGTCACCTGTATTTGACATATTGAGCGGGTCCAAATAGACGCTATTAAGTTTGAAAGAACGCAAATTCATTTTTTTGGCGACGTTTGCACTGCCGTCATCGTTCCTTAAGGTCCCTGATAGGGAGCTTAAAGAACGATGACGTCAACGAGAACGGCTAAAGAGCAAAAGTTGTAGATTGGCAAAACAACAACTTTGCACGTGCATCACGCTTTTTTGTCCATTTCTTTGCCGCCATTGCACGACTACGACGTGGAAGTGCCTAAATTCACGTTTTGTAGAGGACGTGAGCACACAAGACAACGACTTTCTCAGTTATTCTTTTCCCGAACTTCGATAAAGCTTTTAGAATTCAACTCCAGAAAAAATTGTCAGCATTTGACGCATTGAACGAAGTTGATGAAGCGCGATGAAGGTTGAAGTAAGGCGAATTCCCATTTTAAGGGAAAGTTCATTTAATATGACAAGGGGGGGGGATGAAGATATTGAGGGGGGCTCCGAAAATTTTTAGACACCCGAAGGGGGGGCTCTGAAAAAAATGTTGCGCTAGGAGGGGGGGCTCCGAAAATTTGTATACTTCAAAACCAACACATGACATCATCATACAGATCGGATGGTTTTCAACTCAACAATTTAATGACCTGTGCAACTCAGCTATATCACGTGGTTTACAGATATAACAAAATGTAGTCTCAGTAATTATTACACTCTTGTTCATCCCAAAAATGCTTTAGAAAATTGTATCACAACTGTATCTCAAGTTTGTCATAGTATAAACCATTGAAGACAATAACGGTAAATATATTTAATACAGTCTAGCAATCTTTTTTCAGGGGAGCAAAGGAATTGAAGGAGGAGGGGGGGAGGGGGGGTTCTGAAATTTTTTCGACTACCAAGGAGGGGGCTCCTAAAAAATTGAACCGCTAGCGAGGGGGGCTGCTAAAATTTCAAGCTTCGAGTTTCAATATCTTCATCGCCCCCTTGTCATATTAAATGAACTTTCCCTAAGTGACGTTTTCTTAGCCGTCGCCGTTGTTGTTACATAAGCTCCCCAATGTTCGTATTCAAAGGAGCCGTGTCGCAGTGTTTCGTTGTACTATTTCATGTTCGCCGGATAGAATATTACCTTGACATTAGAGGTAGCCTCGAAATATTCCTTTGCCTTCTTGAGCGAGGACTGGAGAAAATGAGGCTGTGTCATGCAGTCATCCTCGAGTACGTCAAAATCGACTCTACTAGCAGGGAGGGAGAACACGACCTGACTCGTCCCCAGTCGTCTTCGCGTAACGCGCACGGCGGGAGCAGGGGGTGATGGGAAGGGAAAAAGGGAGAAAGAGGCGCAATAGTAAATCAGACATGGTTTAGGATGGTTACAGATGAAGGAGATACACATGGATTTCCAAACAGCAAACATGAAAAACGAGGATACATTTTTTTAAGCTGATGATACTATGACGCAGCTCCTTAAAGAATATGGAAATGAAATGGAAAAACAAATAAAAGTTGTAAGTTTAGAAGTAAAATTCTTCAGTGCCACTTTTTTACGCTTTTCACTTGAAAGGGACCGAAAAACAATTACAAAAAAAATCTTTAAATATAGAGTAATAATTGGCACCATGCCTAATCACCGCTTAAGATATTTTGTTTAACAAATGAAGGATTCTTTTTGTTGCCTTGAAATTTCGTAAACGTCCTTGAATTTGCTAAAACAAATATATGACCCGACCGAAGCGTTTGAGATGGTTATTAGACATTTAAAAGTATGGTGGCCCATAATTTTCATGGGTCAATCAAATCTAGTGGAAAATGAACAAATACTTGAAAATGAAGCTGAAAATGTATTTGTCTTAGTGACTCGCCTCGCTCCTCACGCGTTTGTAACTAAGATACCAAACGACAGTGCGAAAAATGCTCCCTTGCAGAAAATGGTAATTTCTGTTGTTTGACTGTTACCTGTAAAACGAATATCCCTCTGAAATCTTGATCTCGGCTTGTGTCAGATACAGTCGCCGGAAATGACTTCGCGCTGGGTACTTTTTACATTATTATTATGCCTGGCAGTTTTCGAAGGATTACTAATAACAATGCTCTCTCACTGGCCCTCAGTGTTAGACACCTCGAAAACCAGAATTCAAGAAGCTTTGTATGTTAGTTCGCCCGTGGCGAGCTCCGCTTACCTATTTCAGCCAAGACAACCGAGGAAACTTCTTTTGGTTGTGGCTGTACTCTCTCATGCAGCGCGAAAAGCCAGACGGGACGCTATCAGAGAGACGTGGTTTTCCGATTGTAGACAAAGAACAGATGACGTTTTCTGCGCTTTTTTTACGGATCAAGCAGGTTTAGACAACGAAACGAGTAGCTCAGTTAGGAAGGAAAGCCAGGAAAATAACGATTTAGTTTTTCTTGAGGTAGAAGGTAAGTCTGGCGTGGTTGTTTCAATGAGATCCTAACATAAAAAATACATACGTCACCTCTACTTAAACCTCACTAGTTACGCGGGATCTTTTTAGTGGAGACAGCTGACATTTCAGAGTACAGTCTCTCTAAGGACACCTTTGGGACTGGCACTAGCTGTCCGTCTTAGAGAGATGTCCGTCTTATAGCAAGTCAAATATAGGGAGCAAAGAAAGGCAGGGATCAACTCTAGGTGTCCGTTTTACAGAGGTGTCCGTCTTATAGAGGTGTCCGTCAAGAGAGAGTTGACTGTAATACAACTAATACAAAAATTTAGTCATATGTAGTAAAGTCACATATACGCTCTTGATATAATGCAGTTCTCTGTCTTCTCTACCTTGCTCTTTCTCACTGCAGATAATCTCGCCTTCGCTGAGCGGCTTCTTCAGGCCATAGCGTGGTCTTTTCAAAGACTGAAGTTTGACTTTTTTCTACGAATAGACGATGATCATTTTCTTTGCCTGGATCGTCTTCTGTACGAGTTGAACTACCGACCAAAACAAGCTCTATACTGGGGATTCGTCCACTGTAGGCCGAAAATCGTCCGCGTAGACGAGGCGTGGCTTATGTTGACTCGTGACTTGATCGAGGAAATCTTGGAGAAGAGAAACTCCACACTACTTTGCTCTCCGTACGGCGACCAAGCTGTTGCCATTTGGATGGGAAATAGCTCTAAAAATGTGACATATTTCATGGACAATCATCGGATAGTGCATAAAAGTGCGGGCAAAGATCAAAAGTTCTTTACGAAAGATGTTTGTATGAAATACTTAAGCCTCCATGGAACTTATCCCAAGGCTATGAGACAGTTGTGGTTGGTAGCAAGCGTGTTTCGTCAAAGGACCCCGGAAGCTATCGCGTATACTGTTAATAAGATAGAGCCATTTGATAAACTATGTCCTCACTCTCCCCGGTTTGATTACCGTGGGTTTATACCCGAATATCAGTTTAAGCCTAAACCCTGCTATGAAAATCCCAAGTGGGCTTTGTCCAAAGAGAGACATGTTGGACGAGAGGAAACTGGGGAGAGATATTCATCGTACAGGAGATAACGGGTCTGTGCTTGGACTTAGGAGGAATTCGAGCTCCTGATAATACGGAGCTTCCGACCGCATTGTTATTGTTTCCCCCAGGGGGTACCCCTGGAAATTCTTGGTAGAGGTGCATCGTCTGGTTCTCTGAATCCTGAACTATTCCAGACCAAAAAAATGTCATATTCCTCACCCTTTTTTAGACCTGGCCTCTCAGATATTATGTCATCATTACTTAAAAAAAGATTTCTTGAAATCCATTTAGTATTCCTCTTTCTTTCTTATTCTTTTGGAATTGAAACTTACAATGCGTCTATACACTCGCGTAGTTCCCTCTTTAAAGAAAAAAGTGGGTAAAGTCTATATCTGTTTTCAGACCAAAACGGCACAAAAACCATAGCCTTTGAGGTGGCACATATGGCACATGTGGCTGATATAGGGCAGTACCAGCGCCGGGTTATTCAGTCCAACGTCGTCGCAGGCGACGCCAATAGCCAAGAACCCACCGGCGCTGGCTTTGGTTTTGTCATCTTAGAGAGTTTTCCATTCCAAAAGTGATCGTCATCGGAAGCATAATAAGACCTAATAAAATTCTGGAGACTCAAAACTGAGCCAAAAATGCCATAATAAAGAGAACAGACATGTGTTTTAACAATTAAGCAAGTTGTAGAGCGTGGTTTTATTTGTTTTTTTTTTTCCTAAAGAACTAGTATCATGATGCTCATAACCAGCTGGTAAATGCAATAGTAGGAGAACGAGGCCCCTTCTAAGCCCAGCAGGGAGGTTTGAATACAGTCCTGTTATTTAGGACAAGCACTTGGGATATGGACTATAAATATAACATGTGTCTGGGCCTAGGATTATACATCTTCGTAAGGGGTTTTGGGACGGCTTGTAAACGGAGGGGACTCATATCCGAGCGAGCTCATGAAAAGCGCTTCGAAGTAAGAGAGAGCAGCGCTGATCAAATTGCATTTCGGAAATCCATTTCACACTTTTGGAGAGGAGCTAATATCCGGAGGTGCTTATAATGGGATCTATTTTTTTGTTGACAGTTGAATGGGCCTACCAACCTCGTTCCTAGGGTAGGAGAGAGAACCTGGGATCGAGGTTGTCGGCCTACAACTGCGGGGGGGGTTCGTTATTTCGCGAATTCGCTTCATGCTGGAGCCGACATGGGTAGTAAAACTTCTGGTATTTTCCAGTTTTCGCTCGACACTTGCCCCCGTCTCCGGTCAGTCCTCTCTTGAGATAGTAGGCTGACCGAAAAGCTTGTCATTTTTCTTTACTAAAGATTGTCTTATGCTGTAATTTAGTGACGCAACCGGCAAATGTGGGCGCTTGGCTTTTCTTTCCGCCATCTCCTGCCCTTTCCATTCCGCTCAGTATCTTTCGTATCGTTTCCGTACCCTACTGTTCCGCACTCCCGCCCCCCTGTCCCCCTCCGCATATTCCCCAGGGAAGACTTCTCTCTCTTTAAACGATTATTAAAACTCTGGACATTCTCAAATGTTTGAAATTACTGAAATAGGGGATAATTTTGTTTAGCTATTACGCTCGGGTTATTCTTATTGTGCTCTGAATGACTACATTTGAAAGAACGTCTCAACTACCTCGTAACTTTAATAGCAACCGCAATCACAAGTAACGCTTTTTGGCCGAAAACAATTAATATCCACGTAACTTCCTGAATTTCGGCACATTTCTTGAATGGCACGCCGTACGTCTTCTTTCCTTCCATAAATATCAAAAAGGCCGACGAGTCGTCACCAGTCGATCAATCAAGCGGTTTTAAAGTGGACAAATACAATTGGTTGAAAGTTTCATAGAGCGCCATCTGTCTTCATATACCCAATAAGCTATCATCAGTCACATCACTACTATAGGATTTTTAATGACTCCATCGGCTATACTGGCTTGCGTATCGGGTTTGTTTACACTATTGTTTCACGTGACGGGAAGGCTGTAATTAAAGACCGCCATTTTTTTTTTTTTTAACAGTTGATGCAAAATACAACCACAACTGAATTCCGATGTTTATATTGAACAAGTTTTATTGCTTGTTTTCTAACGTCATAAACTTGAGGTACTTTGTGTAAGAAAAGTGGATTAGTTAAGAAACGAGGCAAATATTCTTTAATTTAACGAATTTACGTTGGAATTAAGGCCAATCAAAACGTTTGGATTAGAGCTTAACCGTGACTTTTTCAGTAATCTTTCGACAACTTTGTGACTTGAGGGTTTTATATTAATAAATCCTTTGTTGTGACTAACATTTTATGGTCTTTTTTCGTTACATTGCTTGGCGTTCTTTGAAAACTTATCAAGCAATGAGGTAGAACTTCTGACAACTTCAGACTAAAAAGTTATTTAAAAATGACATCTTGACCTGAATTCCACTGTCTATGCACATAAGTTTTGGTCATTATTTCAAATCAGCAAGTCATTGAATTAAATTTAATTTGCATCTGTGACTTGCTGCTAATTTGTTTTGTTCTCTTCCTTCATTTCTACTGGCTATCTTTAGAGAACAAAACGACACATCATAAACATAATAGTTGCTATTGTCATAAAACGTGATGGAAAAAGGCCTGTTTGACATACATCAATGCTCTAGGAAAACTTCTGTTTTACCGCTTAAAAACTCATTTGTGTTTTCTATATGACACGCCAGCACTTCAGAATTTTTGAACTTCAAGAATCTTTGTCAGTTTACATACGCGTTTAGACTGCTTACAATATCGAATCGGCTTTATGTTTGGTAAATAGACAACGCATCCAAGACGTCGGCGTATTAAGCCTATTCGGAAGTTCTTGTATGCATTAACACAAGGTAAATCAGAGGAGCATTGCTTCATTATTCATTGTGGGACCATCAACAGCCAAGAGAAGCCAACTTATTAGAGAGGGTCGATTAACTCAAAGTGAACAAGGAATTTTTAAATGCCGAACAAGTAAGTATTTAGTACTAATGTTATGAACTAAGGATATTAGAGTCGAAGCTGAAGTGTGCCGGCTATGAAGTGGTCATTTGACAACACACACACCAGCATAAGTTTCACTATGAACTACAAATCTTCTCCAAAGTTATCAGTTCAGTGTTGTTTGGTGCGTTTTGTTAACTTGGGGGTTTTTCCGCTTACAACATAATCAAACGTAAACAGGTGTTGAAGGCGTGAGTGATCAAAAAGGCAAAGCCATGAAACACCCAAGATATTTAACTTTAAACAAGT